CCCAGAGCTAATCACAGGGTTAACAATAGAATAATCATATTCTAACTAACATTAATCAATTACTAGAATAACAAGTCTGTAAAATCCTTTAACTCTCTTTTTAGCATAAAATATATTAAGATTAAACACAATAATAATAATATCATATTAGTAATTAAAAATAAGGATAAATAAACTGTATAACAACAATAATACTCTAAAATTCACTCAAAGACCAAATGGAACTTTTTGGTCCCATATTTACTCTCAATATAATCTATCCATCTTCTCCAAACCGAAATATATCTTTCTTGTGAATAATCGTTCACATAAGCGGAAATCTTGGCCATTTCTGCTAAATTTGAGACTTTAAGTGACCATTCTTCTATAGTGGGCAGACGTTCCGTTTTCCAATATTGAGCTACTAGTAGTCTTGCAGCCGTTATAAGATTCAACATCAAATTCACTTCTTTAACATCTAAATCTTCCATAATACCTAACAAAAATATCTGCGGTGTAAACTTTATCTTTTTCTTAAAAACATATTGTATATTCCACCAAATTTTTATCCAAAATGCTTTTATTTCCCTACATGTCCACCAGATATGAAAATAAGCTGCATCTAAATTTCCACATCTCCAACACTTAGGTTGTAAGTTAGGATACATGCACGACAATTTTTGAGGATCCAAATGCCACCTATAAAACATTTTATAAAAATTTTCTCTTAAATTTTTTTTATTTCTGAAACTCATTGTAGGTGTTTAAATGAGGTTAACATGTGTTCAGGTTTTGACTCTTTGGTCATCCAGTTCTCAGAAAAACTCTCCCTTTGGATATGGAACAAAGCCTCTAGCAAGAGTCATACGAAAGGAGGCTGGTAGTTCTCTCAGCTTGCTGGCCGGTCCTATCTAGCAATCAACAGCGGAGTTCTGCCATTATTCATATCTGAGTTTTAAAATGACACAATTTAAATCTTATTTCAGCAGCTTATCTCTGCTCGAAGACAGAGAAAAGGTTTCAGGGCAGGCCTCAGGCTATGTTTGATTACATCCTGACCCCATCATCTCAGGAGAGAAGAACATTTTGGAAGAGAAATCACCTGCCTTTTGTTCCAGGAAGGGAGAAAAGGGGGCAACATAAATAAAACAGAGCAGTGGAACATGTGACATATTCTAGGAGAAAACTTTCTTTCTGGGACTTAAAAGGTTTGCACATTATGCGCAGTGTTTCTCAACCTTGACAATTTTAAGGCACGTGGACTTCAACTCCCAGAATTCCACAGCCAGCAATGCTGGCTGTGGAATTCTGGGAGTTGAAGTCCACGTGCCTTAAAATTGTCAAGGTTGAGAAACACTGTGCTAAGCCATGATTATATGAAAGCACTCTCTTTGGAGGAAAAATGGTTGGATTCCAGAACTTACTCAGGCAAAACCAAGCATATCACGGTTTAGTGAGATATGAGGACCCAGCAGCTGCATACTTCTTATAAGGCAGGAATATGCAATTTCCATCTGCTCAAAGATTGAACTAGGCTTTGTGTGGCAAATTAAGGACAGAAAGGAACTGAAATTACTTTGTTATGCTCCCCAAATTATTTTAAAAAGTAAAAAAAAAAAAAAACCCACAACTTGACCACAAAAAAAACTTGCTGTAAGCTGATGGGACTCTGGCTCACCCTTCCATTGTAAAGCAGTGTCCTTTGGCAGGTTTCTCCCCCCCCCCCCATATTTTCCATTTGCTGCCCCAGTCAATACTTCTTTTAACTGTCCCTATTCATTTTTCGTAGTCGTCCTTCTTATTGCTTGCTTCTCATTTACCTTAAATTTATTAGCCATTATGTATCTTTTCCTATTCTCTCCTCTTCCCCAAGGACCACGTTCCCTCCCCACAATTCTTTGGGTTCCCTCAGTACCGAGGCTGGCGTCCTTATTTGCGAGTTTCGTCAGCATGGGATTGAGGGTGCCAATGAAGAGGTAATGGCGCAGCTGCATCACTGACAGCCATATCAAGTGCCAGAAAAATAACATGGAGAAAGCACATTTCCAAAAGGATTTAACAGGCGGCTGCTTGGCATCTGATCCAGTCTCAGCATCACCTAAAAAAAAAGAAAAGTGGATGTACTCTGGAATTATGTCCAGTCTGTTTATTATATCACAAACTCAGAATGTCTTCACACAGAAGACTAGTTGCTACTGTTTCTCTGACTGCACTTCCAGGATTAAATAATTATAAGTCACACACATGTGGATTTATGTTTTAATTAATGCCAGGGGGGGAAAATGTTTGGTTAAGTAGGGATGGGATAATTATTCCTATTGACTTCAAACCAGACCCACCCAAAAAGTATGTGAAATAAGTTCTAGGGTACAGAGGACATCAAAAGTTGAACTAACTATGCCTTTGGTAACAGTTGCTGCAATGTATGAAGTTGCAAAGCGCCCTCTCGCTTTTCTACCAGCCTCTGATCAATTGGCTGGCAGGGTACAAAGCTGCTGTTTCTCACTAGCAATTTGCAGCAGGGTCACTGGGAGGAAAAAGGAAACAGTATTTCGTAGTAACATGACATTAAATATGATTAATATCTTGCTGGAACTTCAAGTAGTAGATCCCACATCCTGGGGAAACCATAAAAAGTGAAAAATTATGACATTTGAGCTCATTCTTCCTATCTGCTCACCCATAAAAAACAGTTGACTGCAATAGCCTAGAAGCACATGGTGACTTGGGAGCTGATCATGTTCCGCAATGCCTAACAGCTAAGAAAATGGGTAATTCAGACCTGGCTTCGTGTGTGGAACTCTAAAGAGAAAGAATGAGGCAAAAGAAGGAGAATAAAGGAAACTGGATACAAAAAAAAGGAGCATCTCTCAATCCTGGATGAATTGTGTAGTCCAGTGAAGGCTGCCTCTGAAATATACATGGAGGCAGACTCATATTTTATCATTACTTTGCAGAAGAACCTAAAAATTACACAGAAGAATGGCCCAGCCATTCCAAATAATGTAACCCTAGCTAAATAGGAGATCCACAGGTGGTTGGATTAGAAGAC